ATTTCATTATTTACATTTAACATATTGGTGTAGAATTTATTTTGGTCTGAGGTTAATATCAATCCTGATTTTTCCTCATGTATTTTGCCAATTTTTCTAGCAATTTATGGGAATAAACCCACATTCTTCAATGGTTTTCTTTGTTATATACAATTTTAGTTTTAGTAGGATCCGTTTCAGGTCTTGCTTTTGTGTTCTATTGATCTGCCTGCCAATTCTTTTATTAGATCACACTATTTTAATTGTTTATTTTGTAACACCTTATAGGACAAGTTACTTTCCATTTCCCTAAACCCCACTGGTCTCCTTTCACAAAATTTCCTTAGACTGCTTTTTTGAGGTGGGAAGAAAGGACAATAATTAAGTAATAGAATTCATGGTTTCTTAAACTCATTCTTCAATTAAGGCAATAAAAACATGTTATTGTAACAACTTTTTCAGGCTGTAACTTGAGAATATGTATTCAGCCTATTCATCTAATAGCTGTGAGAGTCTCTCTGAACATACATTTTAAAAGGTAAAACCTTTTAAAAGATGTTCTGTTTCCAACGTCTTAATAGTTCCACATGCTTTGAGATCGCTTTCTTCTTTCTTTCTTTCTTTCTTTTCCTTCCTTCCTTCCTTCCTTCCTTCTTTCTTTCTTTCTTTCTTCCTTTCTTTCTTTCTTTTTGCCTAGCTGATTTTAGTTGTAGCATTTAGTGGCTTTGAAAAAGCATTATGGATCTTATTCTATGATAATATAGCTTCGTTAATAGTGTTTTATGAGTAAAATTATTGTTCCTTAATGAGTGTTTGATGAGTGTCATGAACCATCTTGTTCTTACATGTTTCCTCTGAAGAACAAATAGAGAAAATAGTCATAAAGGTTATTTCTTAAACTTGCTTGTATTCATTAATTCATGCAACAGACATTTCTAGCACCTCAGTATGAACTAGGCACCAGTGTTATGGCTGCTGGAGATGCAGCAGGGGTGGTTAGGGGTGGGGCGAGATCAGTGTAATGGTTGTCCTGAAGCTTAAATTCCAGTGGGGAAGACATGTTATTATCAATACACAAATAAATAAAAATATATAATGCAACATAACATGGAGATAAGTTCTCTGAAGAAAACAAAGCAGGGTTAAGAAAAAAAAAAGGGTGAGACAGAGGTAAAGTGACACTCTTGACTAGAGCATCAAGCAAAGCCTGTCTGATTAGGTGTACAAAGAGTAGATTTTAGAGACTGGAGCTTGTTATACTAAAGGCTGGCGGAAAGGCCTTGCAGGCACAGGGAACACTAAGTACAAGGCCCTAAGGTGGGAACAAGCCAGTGTTTTCCAGGACTGTCGAGGAGATGGGTATGTCCAGAGGGGAGTGAGAGAGTTGGAGAGGAGTGGGGGATGAGGTCAGAGAAGTAGCCAGGGGTCAGATTAAAGACTTGGGTTATGTTGTGTAGGATGGGAAGTTGTTGAAAGCGTCTGAGCAAGAGAGTAATAGGATTTGGTGTCATTTTAAACAGGATCTCTCTGCATGTAGCAGAAAGTGAATGGTAGTATAAGTCACTAAAAAGACTGGGAGGGTAGCAGATTGTAGGGTGGAGTGGGGTGGGAATCAGGAGTTCCCTTTGAGCAGGTTGCATTTGAGATGCCAATTAGTCACTTGAGATGTGTGAGGTGTGAGTTGGCATATAAGGATGCAGAGTCTGGAGCCCAGATGGAGATTTAGAATTGGGGAGTCATTGGCACAGAGATTGGTATAGTGCCATGGGCTGGTCAGACCACTCAGAGAGTGTGCTAATTTCCTAGGGCTGCAGTAACAAATTACCAAGAATTTGGTGGCTTAAAGCAGCAGAAATTGGGCCGGGTGTGGTGGCTCACACCTTTAATCCCAGCACTTTGGGAGCCTGAGACGAGCGAATCACGAGGTCAAGAGATCGAGGCTATCCTGGCCAACATGGTGAAACTTCGTCTCTACTAAAAATAAAAAATAAAATAAAATAAAATAAAATAAACATTAGTTGAGCATAGTGGCACGCACTGTAGTCCCAGCTACTTGGGAGGCTGAGGCAGGAGAATCGCTTGAACCCGGGAGGCAGAGCTTGCAGTGAGCTGAGATCGTGCCATTAGTTGAGCATAGTGGCACGCACTGTAGTCCCAGCTACTTGGGAGGCTGAGGCAGGAGAATCGCTTGAACCTGGGAGGCAGAGCTTGCAGTGAGCTGAGATCGTGCCACTGCGCTGCAGCCTGGTGACAGAGTGAGACTCCATCTCAAAAAATAAAATGAAATAAAATAAAAAAAGAAACAGCAGAAATTATTCTTTCTCCCAATTCTAGAGACTAGAAGTCTGCAATCCAGCAGGGCTTTGCTCCTTCTGGGGGCTCTGGGGTCATTCCATTCTTTATCTCCTCCAGCTCCTGGTGGCTGTTGGTGTTCCTTGACTTGTGACCACATCCCTTCAATCTCTGCTTCCCTGGTCACATTGCCTCCTCCTCTTCTGTTGGGCAAACCTTCCTCTGCCTATCTCTTGTAAGGACATTTGTTGGATATAGGACCCACCCAGATAAGCAAGGATAAGATTCTTCTCTCAAAATCCTCAACTTAATCTTGTCTGTTGCCATATAAGGTAGTGGTCACTCCTTTATCAAATAAGAGAATAGTCACAGGTTCTGGGGATTAGAACACTGACAGAGTTTTTTTGGAGGCCAGCATTCAGTCCCCTACAAGCAGTCAGTGTGGATTGAAAAGAGGTAGTCCCAAGACCGGGTGCTATAGTGTTCAGAAACCAGGAAGAGAATACAAAACCAGTGAAGGAAACTGAGGTGAGGTCAGTTAAGGTGGTGCATGAGGAGGACGGCCATAATGTGGTGTCTGATGAAGAATATGTTTCAATAAGGAGGCGACGACTAGCTGTGTGAAAGGCTGCCAAACGATTCAGAAAATAAAGATCAAGCCTCGATCATTAGACTTTGGAACTTGGTGAACTTGCCAAGTCGTGTCCAGAGAGCGTGGCATACTTGCATTAGTTGTGGGCCCCAATGCTGGTTCCAAGTTCCACTGGAATATTATAGTCCTGTTTCAGCTGCGGGATCAGTGGTTGTCCAGTGCTTCAAATGTAAAAGGTTATTTAATGATTTTTTTCCTTCTTTTCTATGTAAAGTTCTATGTGTGTGTTGTGTTAATAACTGTTTCTTCAAACAAATTGTTAAATGTTCATGGATAGAAAAACTGGAAATTGTAATAAGAAAAAAAGTGGGTTATTTAATTTTAAATTTCATCTCAAGTGCTGCCATTTTTTCCCCCTAGAACTCCTGTTTTATTGCTCTTTTTTACTGGGCTCTGAGACCTTTTTATTTTTTTTCACAACTTTTGCTGAGTTAAGTATAGAGTTACTTAGGAGTGGATAGAGGAATTATGGCCAAACTTGTCACATCATGCCTTTTGGGTGGAGTCTGGCTGCACTGACCACTGATGTTGAAGGGGAGGAAGCCCTGTTATCCTGATGAGGGGGATGCAAGCAGATCCCTTCCACTTGTAAAACATACAAAAACCATGGAAACATGCCTTCAAGAGCCAATGATTTCAGTTTGTCTCCTGTCTTCGTGACACATTCATAGGGAGGAATTCTTACCTGGATGTTAACATGAAGGAAGTAATAAAAATTATTTATTTGTATTTTTTGTAATTTCATCCTTTATTTTAGATGCAAGGGATACATGTGCAGGTTTGCGTGATGCTGAGGTTTGGGGTACAATTGATCCCATTTCCCAGGCAGTGAGCATTGCAACCAATGGGTAGATTTTCAACCCTCTCCCAACCTCCTCCTTCTAGTAGTCTCCTGTGTTTATTGTCCCCATCTTTATACCCATATGTACATAATGTTTAACTCCCACTTATGAGTGAGAACTGCAGTATTTGGTTTTCTGTTCCTGTGTTAATTCCCTTAGGATAATGGCAGCCAGCTGCATTCATGTTTCTGCAAAGGACATGATATTGTTCTTTTTTATGGCTGTGCAGCATTCCATAGTGCGTATGTTCCACATTTTCTCTGTCTAATCCACCATTGATGGGTCCCTAGGTTGATTCTATGTTTTTGCTATAATAATTTATTGGTAGAATAATTTATTTTCCTTCGGATATTTACTCAGTAATTGGATTATTGTTAGAATGGTAGTTCTTTAATAAATCTCCATACTTCTTTCCATAGTGGCTGAACTAATTTGCATTCTCATCAAGAGTGTATAAGCATCCCCTTTTCTTCATAGCCTCATCAGCATCTGTTATTTTTTGACTTTTCAATAATAGCTATTCTGACTGGTGAGAGATAGCATCTCATTGTGGTATTGATTTGCATTTCTCTGATGATTAGTGATACCGAGCATTTTTTCCATATGTTTGTGGGCTGCTTATATGTCATCTTTTTAGAAATGTCTGTTAATGTCTTTTGCCAGCTTTTTAATGGGGTTATTTGTTTTTTGCTGGTTGAATTATTTAAGTTCCTTATAGATTCTGGACATTAGACCTTTGTCAGATGCATAGTTTGAGATTATTTTCTCCCATTCTGTGGGTTGTCTGTTTACTCTGCTGAGATTTTCTTATACTGTGCAGAATCTCTTTCGTTTAATTAGGTCCCACTTGTCAATTTTTGGTTTGGTTGCAATTGCTTTTGAGGACTTAGTCATAAATTCTTTGCCAAGGCCAATGTCCAGAATGTTGTTCTTCTAGGATTCTTATAGTTTGAGGTCTTA